CTAGGGATTGTGGTAATTGACCAGGGATTGTCATAATTGACCAGGGATTGTCGTAATTGACTAGGGATTATTAACGTTGACTATGGATTGCCATAACTGACCAGGGATTGTCATAACTGACCAGGGATTGTCATAACTGACCAGAAATAATTATTAACGTTGACTATGGATTGCCATAACTGATTAGGGATTGTCATAACTGACCAGGATTAATTATTAATGTTGGGCTATGGATAGCCATAACTGTTTAGGGATTTTCATAATTGACTAGGAATAATTATTAAATTTGACTATGGATTGCCATAACTGATTAGGGATTGTCATAACTGACCAGGGATTGTATTAACTGATCATTATTTTCAGAATCGATCAGGGAACCCTAGACCAGGGATTAGCATAGTTGACAACGATGGCTAGAACTGAATAGGAGCAGTGTTCCCTCTAAGCTGCGCGGTTGGGCGGCTACGCAGTACTTTTGAGCTGTGGCGCAGTCATTCTGTAAAATAAATATATCCTTGTATAAGACTTTTAGAACACCGCGCACACAAAATACACGTTGCACACTAACTTTTTTTCCCTTAAAGGGAACATTAAGGAGGAATGACCAACAATGTCCACACAATTAATGCTGAAAAGATTACATTTCACGTAATGTAAATTATTTCAACAAATACTAGTATCTAATAAACATGGACTGTACTGGTCCAAGGGTACTTTACTTAAGCATTTTGAATAGTCCTACATTTCTGGGGAATGTTGGATTCGGATTTGTACATTTATGTGGAAATGTTGGATTAGAAATCGCACATTTCTGTGGAAATGTCTGATTCGGATTTGTACATTTATGTGGAAATGTTGGATTTGAAATCGTACATTTCTGTGGAAAAGTTGACTTCTGTGGAATTGGTGTTCATAGGGTGCAATAGTTTTGTGAGTTTGGTGAATTTAGAACTCAAATTTTTTGTCGATTTTGACGATAGACATTGTTTAGATATAAATAGTAACTAGCGGTTTATATTAAAAATAATGTAAGGAACTTTACGAAAGTTTTTTTTAAATGATTCACTAGTTTCAACGTGACAGTGTCGAATTTGAAAGAACTGTGGCCCAGTTAAATACCCCAGTGGAGTCTGTTCGGCGTCACATTTCAGACGCCGCGACTCCAAATAGCAGCAGTACCCAAGAAAGGTCCACCTTTTGATCAGACTGACCTTTACGGGTCACTAATAGTACCCTGTGACCATATATTACACAAAAGCCGACACCGCCCGCGACACCCTACCCGGGCCACGAGTCACCTCCCTTTTCAAAACATCGTCATTCGGCCGACGCGAGTGAATGCCCCTTGTCTCGACTACAATAGGATGAGAAGAATTCGCGTGCGCTTCTTTCGCCCTAAGCTGCTTGTCAGATTGCAACTCTTCCGTAAGGAAGTTTCAGAAAGCTGCACCCTCGGGTGGCTGGGCATGCAGCGTGCTGCCCCCCCCCCAATAGGAGATGTGGTTCTTTTAGCCCCCTAAACAACCTGCTAGGTTTAACGTGAGCTTTTTCATGTGTCAAGGAGATTGTATTTCAAGTGTATCCTTAACCCTAGCCTTAAACTATGGTTTGGATCAGCAGCCATGTTTTGTGTGCGTGCGAGCATGCGTACGTCTGCGTGTGTGTGTGTGTGTGTGTAATTTTGTGCTTGTGTGCGTGTATCTCTCTCTCTCTCTGGGTATGTATGTGTAATTGTGTGATTTTGTGTGTTTGTAAATCTATATCATCTCTCTCACTATTTTAACCAAAAACCTAAATCCTAAAAACAAAATTATTGCAGAAAGATGCCTATACAAAATTATATATTTAAAACTTTATAATATATAGATAACATTGCTATTATTACTGTTATTAGTACTGTTATTCTTTATAGATTTTTAAAAAATACTGATATCTATTTCTCTTTTAGATATATGTATGTCTCGGAGTTGTAGCATATATTGTGTGTTTTAGACTTGTAGGATATATTGTATGTGTCTCAGACTTGTAGCATATATTATGTATCAGACTTGTATCAAATATGTATCAGACTTGTGCAAATATTATGTATCAGACTTGTAGCATATATTGTATGTGATAAGACAGGCCCATACAGAGAAACATATGGTGATGATACACAGCATAAGCTACAAGAGTAAAACACTGTAGCAGCACGCTTGACCAGCCGTCAGTCCACACTAATGGACCAGACGACGTGTGTGTCCAGACGATCAACAATGGCCCCCGTCCATCTCGGCTTTTTGCATAACGTTAACCCTTTGATATCCGGGGGACTGGTGCGGAGAGTTCTGTTCTGGGGTAAAGTTTGGGGGTATTCTGGTGGTCAGGGTTCGGGGAGCTCTGTTCTGGGGTACAGTTTGGGGGTATTTTGGTGGTCGGGGTGCACTGCGGTAGAAGGGGGAAGAGATGGAGGGTTAAGAGTTAACCCGGTTCAATTTGGGGTAAAGGAAAGAGGGTGGTTGTTGGGGTGGACGGTAAAGAGTTAACTTGACTCAGAAGAAGGAGGAAGGGAGGTGGACGGTATTTGGGGGAGGTGTGTAGTTGGGGGGGGGGTGATTTAACGTCTGACTAAATTTTAGGGTGGGGGTTGGTAGGTGGGGGGGGGGGGAGACGACAGTAAACAGTTAATGCTGACTCTTGGTTTTTTTTGGGGTGGGGGGGGGTGGTGGAGGGGGGGGGGGGTTGAGATTAGAAGATGATGGAATTAGGAAGAGGTGGGGGGCGGTGAATAAATAGCTGATTGAGTCAGTTTCTGGGGAGGGTTGGGGACGAAGGAAATACAATACAAGTAACCGAACGTGTCATTACAGTAAAACACATGATGACCAAAAAAGTAAATAAAAAAGGATAGTCCGCTCTTCGAACATACGGTCAATGTGACAAGCGAAGTAGAGTTCACCTGTTTCTGTGACCTCGGGACATGAAGGGATAGTGTGGTCAGCACTTTGGCCAGCCGCCTTTACTTTCTCAGCACAATGTATGATTTGTTATCAGCAGTGTCCTCAGTCGTTTTAAGAATATAATTTACGAGCCGACCCGCGGTGTATCATACGCCGCTATTTAGTTGTTGTTTTTTCTAGTTTTCAGTAATTCATAATTTGTGAATTCGACAGTACCAATGCTGCCACTGAAAATATTTGCTTTAAAACACTAAACCCCCCATCCCCCCCCCCCCCCCCCCGTGAAAGCAGCCTCCTCTTAGTTACCTCCTCTAAGTTTAAAATAGTTTCAAACTGAATTATCTGCCCCTAATAGCCGTCACCAAACTAAACATTTAGCGTGAACTACAACTCACCTGACCATGTGCGGGGGGGGGGGGGGGGGGGGAGGGGGGTGGTAGCGATAGAGAGGAAGAAAGGGGACTGCAAGGTGCGCGCTTGCAGCTTGTTTTCTAACGGCTCCCAGAAGAGAATTATATATATAGATATTCATGCTTTAATTCTCCCTTCAAGTTGTTACGTATTTTTCAAAGTCCCGAGCAGTTCCAATTTTTAACCTATTCCGCACTTCTGAGCATCTGTTCTTATATCTGCTCTACAGGAAAAAAAAGCAAAAAAATAAAATAAAATAACGCAGTATTTTCTAGCTTTTATTGAGGAATTGAAAGTAGAAAATTATTAAGGTAAGGGAGGTAAGTCCTATATGTTGAAAAATTAGCTAGTATTAACTTTGGTTATTCCCCTTACATCATGTTTTTAAAAAAATGTGGTTTACAATATGTCAACAACTCACAATATTAAGTAAATTTATAAACTTCCATAACAGTGATGTAGCATTATTAATTAAAACAAAAATGCTACATACTATTTTACAACAGACTGTCAACCCCTCAAGTAATAGGCACTAAGCTCGGTTAATCTGTTAGGGATTAAGCAGGATATATTCCGCTAATTCCGATGTACAGCTAATGATGCGATAAGATCGCGTAAATCCCCAAATGAAATAATCAACACTGGTCTGTGATTGGACGGAAATTAAAACAAGATATGTTTCCGTTTGGCTCGTGTTCATTCGTCACTTCTATTTTTAATGAGAAATGTATAGAGAAAAATATTTCCAGATAACTTTACCAGTTCCGCTGTATCTCACATCAAATTGGTCTACAATATGGGATATGGGATGCAGTGGTGTCGCTAGTTCAGGTGTCACCCGGTGCGGCACCACATGGTGTTAACCCCCCCCCCCCCCCCCCAACCCCTCGAAAAATATAAATATATATATATATAAAATATATATATATATATATATATATATATATATATATATATATATATATATATATATATATATATATATATATATATATATATATAAAAATATAAATATATATATATATATATATATATATATATATATATATATATATATATATATATATATATATATATATATATATATAAGGCCCTGCACTCGCCTCTGTGAAAAACCTACGTACTATATATAGTTGCAATTGGTGTCACCCTAATGGCGTCAATGTGTACGCACATTATATTAATCCATCAATTACTTCATGTGGAAAAAGCCTCGTCTTCATTGTAAATTATTAGATTTTGGTGTCGCCCCGCCCGGTCCCCGGTCCTCTGTAAATTTTGTAGTTGGTGTTACATTCCCTCCCACCCCTACCCCCACCCCCCAGCCTCGGGTGATAGTTTTAACGAGTGCACAGTTAATAGTTAAGATGTTCATTTATGTCACTTATTAATATTGGTGGATTAACTTAAATATTAATCTTTATTTGAACTGGCAAAAAAGCGCATTTCTTCTATATATCTTGCAACTTTTCGCCATGGTGTCACCCCCTAAATGGTGTCACCCAGTGCGGTCCGTACCCGCCCCCGCCTCGCGACGTATCTGATGAGATGAGTATTGAACCGTGGTTATTGCTGCCGATCGATGCATCGTTAATCCTCATTTCCCAACGTTTTATTTATAAAGCCTTATTAAAAGATCTGTAGTCGTCATTTATAGCGAAGCTTCGCTGTGTTAGAGTTTCGCTTTATATTTTATATTACTTAGTTTTAGATCAAATTAATTTGATAATAACTGTAATAACTGTACAGGTAATAAGAAAACATTCCTTAAGCTTAGGTTTAGCTTCTTATGTGTCAGACGCGACGCGATTCTCCATTATTCTATTAACCATGTTTTAACGCGGTGCTTCAAATTTTAGGAAAAAGTTTATCAAGTTACAACAAGCTTTAGAGGGAAATATGTTAACGATGGTATCACGAGTTACGTACCTTGTGTGTGTGTTTGCCGTCTACCTATCAAGAAATTGTGCTAATGCAGGTATGTTCGACTGTCTTCTTATATTTTATTAACAAAAACTGTATACTGATAATATTAACGTATAGTGAGCTTTAATGGTCCGCATCAGTTATTCATCGACATATTTAGATTTGTATGTTAAATTAGTGGTTTTTAATGTATGGCTTTAGACGTCATTGTTTATTGCGTTCTTGTCACGACAATAAACACTTTAGTTAGAAATGTGTTTCCACATTAGAATATGCCTTTATTTGTATTTTCCTTCTTTAAATAAAATTTAGTTCATACATTTAAAATATCCAAAATACTATTTTCAACACAAGTTTGTATCTTCAAGTTCTCCATTATTCGCTGAACATAATGATCACATAGCCTAAAAATATTTCGGACAGAGAGATGTGCGCACATCGGCTTTTATTTATTAGGATTGTTGTATACTTTAAATAATCTCCCTTGAATAAGTTTTATAAAATGCTTTGAGAAAAGTAGTTGCGACCATCTCAAATTCGAGATTATTGATGTTGACGTTATTCGGCGCTTTGATATCCATTTCAAGTTTCTTTCCGGGCATATTTTATCAGACACTAGTCAGCACTTGTAAGCAGATATTATTTTACTCAAATAGCAATTTATGAATCTAATTCACAAAAAACAAGGGAGGTAAGACTATTTTTTTAAATATTTTAAAGAAAGGTTATTTATTAATAAATGAATTAGAAGGTTATCCGACGCGTGAGCTGGCCACACGCAGTTGTACATGAAAAACACGTTTCTGTCTCTTATGCATTACTACACCATTCATCCGATCGCCATGAAAACAGAGTTTCTTCCAGGCATCGAAGCCCCCCAGAAAAAATTCTACCGCACCTTCCCCCCCCCCCCCCCGAACGAAATGAAATGTATATAATTTATATAGAAAATATATACTTTTAACAGTGTCCGCCCCTCCCCCACCCCCGAAGAAAGTCTACCGCCCCCCCCCCCCCCCCCCCGGAGAAAAAAATCTGGAGGAAACACTGCATGAAAATTTGAGTGCAGCCCCTTTAAGGTTTCTGCCATAGGCATAACATTTGTTTACCTATCGGAATGGCAGCGCCCCACTGAAATGTGTGGTTTAGCTCCCCGAAATCCCCAGTGGCTATGTTTGATATGAGACTGGCTGTATTCGGTACCTTCCACAAGGTTAAGAACCATTGCGCTAGATTATTTAATCCGTGAAAGTTTTGGGTTCGAATCCTTTGGCTATATAAACACATAAACTCAACTACACCTGACATAACCAGTATTAACCAGTAATTATCTGAGTGGTCTAGCGGTAGAGAGCTGGACTGCTAACCCGTAAGTCTCGGGCTCGAATCCGGGTTCAAGTCAGTAGACCGTCCCTGAGTCCACCCAACTCATGTTACTTTACTTTTTACGTATTGTAATTAAGAGTAAAGATCCCTCGCACACCTGATAATAATTTGGGATTATGCAAGGCTTATGTGTCCACCAGTCGTTAGATTTTTACTTTTCCCCCATTAGAGCTGGTACTAAAAATGAACATAATCCATGTTTGGAAAACAAATAACATTTTTTTAAGAAAATATTTAAAAATACAAATAATACATTTAATCATGTCTTAAACGAGATTTTAAAAAATATAAATTTTGAATTATGGCTTTTATTTAATTTTAGTGGGAGTTTTGGGGGGGGGGGGGGTGTCTGCTAGACTCTATTGAGCCAAAATCGGGTGTTTATTTATGTGAAAGATCACGTGGGTTTAAAATCTCAAACAGATGACTGCGTGCCTGTTGAGGGATGCACGGGCAAGCCAGACGGGGATTATCCAATGTGTTATCCAGATTGTCTCGATGGATACTACGTCGCTTGTTCCGGTGGATTTTACAACGAAATGTGAGTAGTTCAGGTAAAATATATTGAGTAGTTTTTTTAGAGGGGAAGGGGCGGGGGAGGGGCGATTTGACACAACTGCCAACCCGTTAGACACAACTGCCAACCCGTTAGACACAACTGCCAACCCGTTAGACACAACTGCCAACCCTTTCGACAAAACTACCAACCCGTACAACTGCCAACCAGTTCGACACAACTGCCAACCCGTTCGATACAACTACCAACCCGTACAACTGCCAACCCGTTCGACACAACTGCCAACCCGTTCGATACAACTACCAACCCGTACAACTGCCAACCCGTTCGACACAACTGCCAACCCGTTCGATACAACTACCAACCCGTACAACTGCCAACCCGTTCGACACAACTGCCAACCCGTTCGACACAACTACCAACCCGTACAACTGCTAACCCGTTCGACACAACTACAAACCCGTACAACTGCCACACCTTTCGACACAACTGCCAACCCTTTCGACACTACTACCAACCCGTTCGTCATAACAACCAACCCGTACAACTGCCAACCCGTTCGGCACAACTACCAACCCGTTCGATACAACTACCAAGCCGTACAACTGCCAACCCGTTCGACACAACTACCAACCCGTTATACACAACTACCTACCCACTCGACACAACTACCAACCCTTTCGACACAACTGCCAACCCGTTCGACACAACTACCAACCCGTACAACCGTCAACCCGTTCGACACAACTACCAACCCGTTATACACAACTACCTACCCACTCGACACAACTACCAACCCTTTCGACACAACTGCCAACCCGTTCGACACAACTACCAACCCGTACAACTGTCAACCCGTTCGGCACAACTACTAACCCGTACAACTGCCACACCTTTCGACACAACTGCCAACCCTTTATACACAACTGCCAACCCGTTCGACACAACCACCAACCCGTATAACTGCCAACCCTTTCGACACAACTGCCAAACCGGTCTACACAATAACCAACCCGTACAACTGCCAACCCTTCCAACACAACTGCCAACCCTTTCGACACAACTACTAACCCGTACAACTGCCACACCTTTCGACACAACTGCCAACCCTTTATACACAACTGCCAACCCGTTCGACACAACCACCAACCCGTATAACTGCCAATCCTTTCGACACAACTACCAACCCTTTCAACACAACTACCAACCCGTACAACTGCTAACCCGTTCAACACAACTGCCAACCCGTTCGACACAACTACCAACCCGTACAACTACCAACCCTTTCAACACAACTGCCAACCCGTGCAACTACCAACCCGTACAACTACCAACCCGTTCGACACAACTGCCAACCCGGTCTACACAACAACCAACCCGTACAACTGCCAACCCTTCCAACACAACTGCCAACCCTTTCAACACAACTGCCAACCCGGAAGTCTCGAGTTCGGATTCTAGGGCTCAAGTCGGTGCCATGTGACTGAGTCCACCCAGCTCTTTTCTGTACCTAACTCACGGAAAGTGATGGGGGCTGACCACATTAAACCTCTATTGGTCGAGATAACAGAATCAGGTGAACTCTACTTCATCTGCTCAAATGGATCTCCTACGTTGGATAGGTACTTTTAATCATAACAAATGGAAAAATGGCTTTGGGTTTTCGATATTTTGTTCAATAAACCCGGGGTCGGCGTGATCGAGTCTTTTATGCTCATGGTTGCTGGACCGAATGAAGCGGATGAGGCTCGATAGCGAGGGACAGCAACTCATCTAGGAGAGACAATTCCAAAATCAAACGTGACAACTGGTTATGCGCCATATTTTTCAGATTTCAGCCTGCTTTTCTTTTTGGATTTGCTGCCATAGCCTTTGTCTAACCAAGAACAAACTACAAGGCAGCAGTTGTTTGATTTGAGTTGTCTCTCCTAGAAGAGTGGCTGTCTCTAGCTAACGAGCGTAATCTGCACGAGGGTTCGAACTCGAACCTATTCTATTTAGCAACCATGAGCTTTTACCGACTCGACCACGCCTACCCCTTTTATACATCCGAATTAATTGTTTACTTGTTCCATTTTTGTCTTCCTATTCACACAGGCCTTGTCAGGAGGCGTATTACCTTGATGGCAATGGAAATGAGATACTTGCCAGACTAATATTCGACCCTGAAGCCGGGGCGTGTGTTTACGAATCCCGCAGCTGCCCGTGGTTCTAACTTACCATCTCCATCCGACCTTCTACATCGTCAGCATCACGCAACTAAAAACAGCTCCAGTTTTTTTTTCTACATTTGAGAAATGTTAACATCCCCTGCTGAGGGGGAAAAAATAGAAAAAAACCGATTGCTATTTCAGCAAATAGTAAATGAAAATGTTATCGTTGTGTTACTTCGTTTGAAAGTAAAGATGATTTAATTCTCTCCAAAGGCCAGTCTTGAAAATCTCTGCGTTTAGGGCGTCTAAAGTTTGGCATTTAAATAAGAAACATATCAAATTACAAAACTCACGCAAACACACACACATCCTAACGTATACATTTCCTCTCTCTCTATCTCTCTCTCTCTATTTCTCTCTCTCTCTCTCTATTTCTCTCTCTCTCGGTCCATCACATATTTTCCGAGGCTATGAGATCAGCATCTTCAGCGATATTTGTAAAACTTTATGATATGGACGCTTGTTGAAAATAGTACGTTGGATGAATGAAATGTATAAATTAATTTTATTTAAAGAAGAAAAATAAAAAAAATAAAGGCGTATTCGAATGTAGAAAAACATTTTAAATTATGCAACTGAAAAAGTGTTTATGGTTGTGACAAGAACGCTCTAGACTAGAGAAGATGCAAGTAATAAAAACAAGCCAAATACAAAACATCGCTTTCGCATTACGGAAAGCGACGAGTTATTTAATTAAGCTTTTTTAAATTAATTTCGCCATGTTAAGAAAATTAAATTTACTTTCTATCCATATACGAAAAATGTAAAAATCTATCAGGAATGCGGCCTCAATCCTTGATGTTTCTGGAGTACTAGAAACCAATGCAGGAACCTGCATCAAACTTGATATCAGAAAAGATAATATAGAAACTCAAATTAATGTAGAATTCAATGATGGTGAAAACTAGTGTTTTTCTGGTTGAGACAATCCATCTTAGAGAGAAACACAAAGTGATTAAGTGAGGGCGACAACCCATCTTAGAGAGAACACTAAGTATTTACATGGGACAGCAACAGATCTTGGAGAAAATACCTTAAAGTACCGGAAATGATGAATTGTTAATTCCCTAAGTGAACAATAACAATACAAGTTTATACATGTATGTTTTGTTTAACATTAATGTGCTTGTACAACAATGCATATATATTGTTACGTCCCCCTTCCTTATCCTTTCGAATTTAGTTGGGAATTCGTAAACAAGAACGTTCCAATTGTTACTTCTCACATAATAATGAACAAGAACTAATAGAGAATGAACACAATTAGCAACTATAAAAAAGAACACTACAGATTAGTGCCTGAATTCTAGGATACTAATTACGCAGTAACAATAGCAAAGTCCAAGAATCACACTAATCACAACTAGAATAAGAAACACCACCGCAATAGCATTCACAGGCCCAAGTCCTACAGATATCCCTCCATGAAGGTGGTTGATCCCAAGTTTTTGAAAAATCTGAAGTTTTCTAGAAAACACAACAAAAAGGCTGTTGCTGCTAAATAAATGTCTGTTAATAACTGACAAAAAAAACAACAAAAAAAAAAAAACAATACAACTACAACAACTAACGTTAACCTCGTCACCAAATGGAATACAACCAGTTAAACGACAGCTCTCTACAACTAAAATAAAAAGTCCTTAATCTGACTATCCTACTTGTTCCTAGCGGTCAATTCTAGTCTACTGACATCCCTGCCACCAGCTCGCGAGATAACCGTCTCGTTAGCCTGCTTACTCACGATATGTGTCTCAAACCGCTCCTAAAATAGTGGACTCCGGAAAGTCCGAGTGCAGGGGTAAAATATTATTAGACCAGCCCCCAAGTTTCCCCCACGGTCAGTGCTGGGTTGTCTCCCCTAGGTAAATACTTGATTCGTAAATACTTGGAGTTCTCATTACTTTTATTTTCCGTGTATGTCGTATCCCATCCTCACAAAAATGTTTACTTTTACTTTCCAAACTAAGTAATACCTCCCTCTAGCGCAAATTCAGATTGGGGCCCAAAAAAAGTATTGAAAACATTGCATAAAAACGTTTTAATAACAAGCTTTTTAGTTATAAAGCACTAACAAAGAGAAAATAAATGATTTTCTCTGAAAATATAATTATATACTACTATTGAAATAACTATACAGAAAAGCGTTGGCTACTATATTATCCATTGGATGCCTTTATTTATCCCGAATTTTCCCTCTTCTTTTCTTTGAACCTGACTGGTGGCTACTTGCAAAAAAAAAGTAAAGTTTTTTTATGTTACAACGAGCTGACCCGCGACGTAGTATACGCCGCCATCTAGTTGATTTATTGTCTGCTTATCAGCAATGCATAATTTGTGAATTCATCACTACCTCCTCCCGCCCCCCCCCCCTTATCCACCTCCCCTCCCGCCCAATGAAAGCAGCCGTTTACAGTCAAAGAAAAGAACAATCAGAAATTGTTATCGCCCCTTCGTTTTAAATCGCTTAATACTAAATTATCCGCCCCTAATAGCCGTAACTAACCCGGCTCTACGATTGTAAACTTTCGGGGGAACCACAGCTCACCTGACAGGTGGGGGATGAGGGTAGTGGCTAAGCTGCGTGGTGTTTTCTATGGTCTCCATGAAGAGAATTATATATATAGATGGTCTTGAAAAGTCTATGTAATCAAACTAATTTTTTTTTAAAATATTTTTTAAAATATTGCAAGCGGTAAAATTTCAGATTTGTGAAAATTAAAGCAGTTTGACAGCTTACGTTTACTCTCGTTTTCATATTTTGTATTGAATTTAAGCCGTTGAAAAGTCGCCTAGAATTATTTTATCCATTGAAATATTTTCTAAAAAAAAAACGCCCTCGACCCCTCCTTGAAGTCAAACGGAGAGGCAATTGTTTTTCACGATAAAATTACACAACTTGATATAGCAAAAGTAGTTTATTTAAATTAAATTAAATAGCATAACATTCCCTATCACCACAACACCCTGACTCTATTAATCCAAATTGCTATTTTATTACCAGTAATTATTTGTTTGAATATTTCTAGCCTTAGCTTAACTTTAAGTCATTTTTGTACTTATTTCACAAATGTTATAAAAAAATCAATTTTGGGTGAAAAATATGCTTTCTGGCAACAAACATCTGGAAACATTTGAAACCAGCTTTTCAAGCCTATTCTGAATAAGAAAAAAAGTTCGATTATAAAATAAGCATTCAATAGAACATAAATCTTTTAAACAAGTTGTTCTTTGTTGAAACTATTTCTTGTTTTTTAAATTGACTTTTGATGTCCAATCTTTTATACCGCACTCTTTGCTCCAAACATTAAGCTACTGATATAGGTTAGTCATTACATAAGGTTACATCTACGGTCAATCCAGAATATTATATAGGTCTAAAGCTAAAAGTCTAGTGAAATATTTTCTTCCACACCTCCACAACCATTATACTACACATACAAGAAAAATATAACACTTTGATTTGTCTGAAGGGCTTTATTGATGTCAAGACGTGACCAGTCAACTTACATTTTCACCGGAAAGCCTACTAGCGATTTGGTTTTCGCAGTTTCATCTCTATAAAACTGAGGGACGCGTGGAAGCCAGTGATGCTGTACCAGTTAATACCTGCGCCGAATTCCGTGTTTCCCCATTCTCCATTTGGGTTTGTTTGATGGCATTCTTTATACCACCAGCCGTTCTTGAAAATCCCTGCACAATTTATATAGCTAAATTTACGGTCCATAGTTGCGAACCTTTGACCTTTTTGGTATGTCATGTTATCAGTTGTATTGCCTGAGTAGCCGTCAAAGGTCATCCGATAGGAAGCAGCTTCGTTTTCCAACACAAAGTTGTGGCACACGGCATAGTAGCTCTGTCCGTTATATTTCATGTCAAACCTCAAATCAGTATAGCCCTGTGAAATGGTAATAAATCTTATTTATGTATTTGTGTATATCTAAGTTAGTGTACTTTAAGGAAAAAAAAATTATACACCAGGGACTACATTTTTCAAAATATTGCGAAACGGGAGCCGGACGTTTTCCTGAAAGACACTTTCGGCCTTCGGGCAAACGGGATTCGGGTAAATATGAACCCTATAGAAAATATACATTACACTAACCTTAATCACAACCACAAACCCTATCAGTTTCTAAATCCCATTTTATTTTCCCTGAACTGTATACACTTCCCAATCAAACTTCTATTCGACTTCATTTTCCTTATTGCTATTTCTATCTCTAACCTATTCATTTAGCTTTCCTTATTCTTTTTCTATTACTATTGCTATGCGTATTTTAAACCCATTCGTTTCCTTATTTCTGTACATATCCCATTTAATGTTCAATACCATTATACTTTATCAATTGACCTATATAATTACGTATCCGATTTTCTTTTCCCCTATCTTTATTTATACCCCTTACCAATTCATGTAATTATACCTATACCAACACCTGTAGTTACCTCCCTATAATACATAGACCGAAACACATCGTATTTTTAAAATTAAAAACAATAGAAAATATGCTTTTGGTCAGATCTAGTGGACCAAAGATTATATAGCGAACATGAGAGGTAAATTTTGACAGCTTTGCCAAATTTTCCCAAATATTACACGTTTTTTCCTTGGATTCATTGGGATTGGTCTACAACCTTACGAAATATCAGTGAGGAGGGGGTTGTTCGGCACAACTTTTTTTTCGATATAAATCTCAAATAACTTGAAATAATGATATAATTACTCGCGGTCAGTTTTTAGCCCCGTCTTGTGGGTAGAGGCTTATTGAAAGTTTATCAATATGGCCCATTTATTTACCGAAGTCAAAGGGGAGGGGGGGGGGGGGAGGGAAGCCAGATGTCGAGGGCCAAGGTACCTTAAAAATTGGTTTGAAAATAGTCAACGTTTTTCATCCAAAGTTTTAAAAATATAATGTATGGGAATACGGACTGTTCAATTCTAAATGCCTTCCGAAGTTTTCGCAAAGATAACGCCTATTTTTTGTTACTCACGATGGTAATTCTACTACATCAGAAGTTATACTAGGGTTCCTACGTTGGAATTTTTTTCAATATATAACTCAAATAAGGCGCAGGTCAGTCGAAGTCAGTTTCGAGGTCAGTGGCGAGCACTTGCCAAATTTAAAGCGCCCGCGGTGCCGGCAAAATACCTAACCGGTATCTGACCATTGTATATATATATATATATATATATATATATATATATATATATATATATATATATATATATATATATATATATATATATATATATATATATATATATATATATATATATATAAATTAAATAAATGAATATATATATATATATAAATACATACTATATATATATATATATATATATATATATATATATATATATATATATATATATATATATATATATATATATATATATATATATATATAATTTTTTTGTAAAGTTTCAGAGCTTCACCGCATTTTTTTTACAATCTGTAACTAACAGTATATTCGTATCACATGAATTAATAAATAATAAAACATAATAAAATTGTTCTCTTTACTGCAGACGTGAGTCGATAAATAAAATCATTTCCAATCCAAAAGTCCCCATCAATCGAGCCAAAGCCATCACGATAGTCATTCCAGTATTTTGAAAAGTTCACGTCCATTCTGATACGGCGCTGATAATAGATTTATGTTAAATGTTGCATTTATTTCACATGCTCTGTTTGTCTTTACCCAAAGTCTAAGTAAAATCTTTTGTATTACGCTAAAGATATTTTTGAAAGTTTTTCTTTTGTTCATTCGGTCTGTCTGTATGTCCTTTTATCTGTCTGTTGGTGGCAAATCTCGAAAATCAAGTTTTAACTAACTCTAACTTAAAACAAAGACGAGTTTTCTTTTTTTAGTGAGAGCAATACTATCTTGTTTAAAAATCACATTAGATGTTATTTAAAATTTGCTAAATTCAATAACAATTGAGCAGACAAGAGGATTAATCTCAAGCAAGTACTCAATCAGCCAGGTGAACTATTGTCAACTGATGATCACTGGTTAGTGGTTTCACACATCAGAGACAACAACGGACATAAAAAGAGAAAACACAAGGATAATTTATCAAGCTTCACTGGTATTTTTAAACAAATAGTGGTGTTTTAAGAATGAACAAAATTCATCAAATAAATTATAAATAGATGAAACTACTTAAATATTTATGTGTTTAGTTCATTGACACCAAAAACAACAAAAATAAACATATTTTAAAAATCTTTATTAAAATAAAATGTTCAGTTCACCTAAAATAAAAACATTAAAAAAAATATTTCTTTAAATCTGTAAAATTACAGAAGTGTGTGTTCAAAATGGTACGTTGCCATATGGTTACAGTATGCAATTTTAGGGTTAATTAGTCCGAAAATTGGAAGCTCAGAAAATTATTACACTGGATGGAGAATAACGATTTTAATACGATAAAATGATCCATCTATTATTATTAGTTTCAATGTCAAATTAAACAAACCTGGATAACAATCCACCCACCCACAACAGTTTTAGTGTCAAATTGAACAAACCTGGATAATGACCCATCCACCTCCATCAGTTTTTGTGTCACAAAGAACATGTTTTGTTCCCAATGATTCAAATACCATTCTTTCTTTGTAGCATGGTTTCATGGAATTGATATCACATTTTGGTTTTGTCTGGTAATTAAATTTTTTGCCAGTTAATAATAGAACAATCACGATTTAAAAAAAACTTTATCTGATCATATCGTTGTGTATTTTTGTCTGTCCGTGTGTAACACGCTACATCCACGAAAACCACCATGATTGGATTTATATAGTTTGTTTCCACATTCGATTGTGTATTAAAATTGTATTGGCTTTTTAAACCAAATTGTCTTCAATAAATTTATTTTATTAGTTAATAGCACTATCCATTACACATTAAATTAAGCAATACTTTAAAAAGATACATTTTAGAAAAGTTAATATGTATTTGCCAACAGTACTTTCACCCAATGCCTAAATATATACATGGCATGTAGGAATGTTAAAGTTAAGTAGATAAACTGGTTTCCAAGTGTTAACGTCATTATAATAATTTTAATAGATACTTCAACATACTATTTCTCTTGTTTTTACTTTCTCGTATATGAAATATAGAGGAAGTATTGTAATATTGCAAAAATCCGACATCGGGGTTTTAACAAATCTCGAATGTTTTACATCTCCTTGAGTCAGAAAAACATAGTTTTGCAATTGTGTCCGTATGTCGGTATGTATGTGTGGGTGTATGTGAACACGATAACATGAGCACCGTTACAGCTAGGTTGGTAAAATTTCAAATATATAAAATGTGTAGTTCTGTATCAACTTTTCGATGATTTCCGGAAAACCGAATAGACTTATTCTACTTTTATTTTTTCAAAAGCCTATAATTTGAGCACTCTTTCTTTTAAATAGACTAAATTTAAATATAAGTATAATATATTAAAATCCCTGCCTTCTATCAAATTTTGAGCATTTTGCGTTTATCGGAAGTAATAAATTACGCTATTTCCGATTTTTCAAAAAAAAAAAACCAAATTGGTGTAAAACGTATTTATATTCCGCACTATTATACACTCATTGTTTGCTGTTCACTTGGTGCCATCCTTATGTAAGTATATTCGAGAAATTTTAGGAGAGATCACTCGCGCTTTATTTCTGTCCAGATTCACACCTCCTAGCCTAAACAGCCTTCCACTAAATAGGCTATCTAACCACATAAGAAAACATATGAAAAAAAAACCTTTCTAAAACAAGCTTTTTAATGCACTTAAAATAAGAAAATAAAACTGCTTTCTTTCATAAAAGCTTTAGCGTTTATGAGAGGTTTTTTTTACATATTATAGCGACCAACAGGTTAAGTTTTAAATCGATTAAAAACGTTATCTTTCCCTAATAGCTTTTATTAGATCGAGCGTCTCCGCGATTGTAAACATTCGGCGTGAACCACAGCTCACAAGACTGATGGTTGATAGCGTCTAGCTAGTTTTTCCCCCTTCTGTTGTTAAATATTGTAATGTATAGAGTGATTTGATATTGTTAGTACCGAAACTGATTAATTAATTTTACTGACTAATAAAACATCTAATTAAATTAAAAATAAATAGATTTGTATTGTCATCGAAGTGAAACGTTTCTGGAAAGTTTGCATTAAAAGTAGGACAAAATTGAGTTAAAACATTTGCAACAAAACCACAAACAAATTAAAACAAACAAACAGACGTTGCGAACTAAATAAAAGATTGTAAAACACCCCCTTACAATCGTTTACATTCTTTTTAATACACATAATAAGATATACAACCCTGGGGTACCTATACATAAACACGAGGGATTTAAAATGTACTAATAGACTCACTACCCTCGAACTTTGGACTACTCTAGCATGACTTGCAAATGAACCAAAACACAAATAATAAATTAAATTAAATAAGACGGACTTACGGGACCGTCTGTGGCACGACAGTAGTGAGCTTTGTTCTTGCATCTAGGTGATCCAGCTTTTTTAGTGTATCTGTTCTCTGTTTCTAGTGAGTAAAAATTAACACGGTTAAAGGGCGTGGCCTAGCAGTAGAGTGTGTGTGTGTGTGTGTGTGTCCGTGTGTAAACACGATAACTTGAGTACCGTTTCTGCTAGGTTGATGAAAGTATTATATCAAAATCGTAGATCCGTATCAACTTTTGAGCGATTTCCGATAACCGGAAGTGGTACTTTTTCTACTTTGAATTTTTCAAAAGCCTATAACTTGAGTACTATTTCAGACAGATAAATGAAATTTCACATGTAAGTAAAAGCTCTAATTCTCTACCTTCTGTTAAATTTTGAGTAATTTCCGTTGACCGGAAGTAGTAATTTACGCTACTTCCGATTTCTCAAAAAACTAATGTAAATTTTAAAAGTACTAATAATATTGCGCACTATTATGCGCTCTTTTATTTCGCGTTCACTTGGTGTGCAATTAATTTGTCTACGAGATTTTATTCTATTTTTAAAACTTTAAGTATTTAAAATGGATTAAAAATCATGTCTATAGCCCGAGTTCCCATCCCCTGTTATTTTATATAAAAATATTCGAGAAAGTTTAGGGGAGATCACTCCCGGTTTATTTATTAAAAATTTCAATTATAAAACCGAAATCCAAAGACTGAAAAAAGTGGAGGGAGCTTTCTTTCTGTGGCAGCCCCATGTATGATAGGCACAAAAAGATTAAGAAAATCAACACCAAGTTCTAAAATCAAGTGTCTGTTTATGAGATTGGCTTTACCTATTGTGCCTCTTTGTTTGATTAAAGTTTTACAACGTTTCAAAATTTATTTCCAAAAAAAGAAAAAGGGTATAGTACATGGTGTAAGTACCGTATATTGTATATAGCGTATAGTACATATTGTATGGTGTATACATCATGTTTAATAGTCTATTGCTCTTGGTCTGTTGTGTAATGTAGACTATGTTTGGTGGCGTATACCATATGATGTAATGTATATAGTGCATGGTGTATAGAACATATTGAATCGCCCATAAATTTTGAATATGGCGTATAGTATTTCATTTATATATATATATATATATATATATATATATATATATATATATATATATATATATATATATATATATATATATATATATGAGCGGCTGGAGTGTATTATTATTATTTGTGACTTAAAAGGCGAATGTATCGTTTCGTTTCATGTCGTAAATTGTTCGTAGTTTTTAGTTGTGTAGTCCCGTATTATGGCGCCGCTGTCTCACTGTTTATGTCCCTGTTTATAGCTAGTTTGTATTTATTTCGTTTATATTGTTGTCATTGTTTATATTGTCTTTTTATATAATTCTGTTGCATGTTTCGTGGCGTTTGGTTTGTTATCCGTGAATTAGGGACTATTTGTTTACTTGTAGTGTGTGAGGTGTGCGAAAGTCGATTTCCGGCTGGTTCGAGTCTGTCTTTTGGTGTGTTGAAGGGATGAAGTGAGAGCAGGAAGACTCTCTGGTCATCGATTGTAAAGAACACCATCCAGCCGTATTTATTTTGTGTTTGTGTTCGTCATAGACCTGGACGAAGTCCGAAATTGGGTGTTTTGTTTGGTTTTGTTTTGTCTGTTTTGTGTCAGTAGTTTTTATCTATTCTTTTTCTGTGATTTTTCATTGGTTCCATATTTTTGATAAATAAATTTTATTAATTGTTAAAGTTTTTGTTTTATTTTGGTAGTTTTTTATTTAGACTAAGGATAAGATATAACCACCGTGGGTTTCACCACGGTTGCACTGACCCAGACAGTTAGATAGATTTTAAGGTATTCCCCCCCTAGCAGGTCTTATATATATATATATATATATATATATATATATATATATATATATATATATATATATATATATATATATATATATATATATATTCATATAAAGCAAAGCCTTACCTGCCGTATCATCAGCGCATGCGCCATGAAAGTGTTGAAAGAACAATATGGCAGCGATGAGCAGACTGCTGTAGTCCATTATAGCTGCAAGCCAACTATAATGGGAACTTGTTTGTAAGGCGAAGACCTCATCGGAACAGCAAGTCTGTTTCGTTGATGTGGTGATGGAGCTCAGTGTTGAAATCAATAAATTACGTTTCTATTTAACCTTTTGGTATAAGCCAATCGTCTTGTGACAACAGGTTGTTTAGGGATTTGGATTATTTCATATGCAAGCAGAAGGGGTGGAAGAATGATTTTGATGCTGGTATAAGATGATAAAATGTGATCGTGGACATGTAAATAGTGACACAATCACAAATATAAAGATAACAATTCTAAAATGGTATAAATTTAAAATTACCCTTACATTGATACTTGTTTCCAAAATATCACTAACAACCTAGCACATCTATTTCTGGAAGAGTGCATTGTCACACATGAATAGTAGAAGCCATTCAACAATGTTTTAGATTACGTAACAACCTATGACACCTATTTCTTGGATAGCCAATTGTTGGACATGTAAAGAAGATATCACTCAATAATGTTTTAAATTAATCAACAACCTAGCGCACCTACTCATGGAATAATCCATTGTAAGACTAGAATAGTAAACCAAATATATATTTGATTAAGTTGACGTGGCATTGATCAAATTTTGACTGTTTACTTAACTTCATCTTTAGACTTGCGATCCTTTTGGTAGATGGAGTATAGCTCAAGTGGTTCTTAAACTCAACATATGAAGGGATGGTGGAGTCGTCCAGTCGTCTATAGGTTCCCAAACTAAGATACTCATCAGAGCAGTAAAACTTCTGAAGAGTCAAATGTTAAAACAATTTGGCTGTCAGCGGATTAGAGATAAAGATAATCACGTTATTTACAAATAATTTATCTGAAATGACAGATAATTTAATGATCTTGTTAAGTCGGTGGTAGTTTAAATCTTTAGTTTTACTTTATCCCCAGCTTTAAATTAAATATGTTGTATTTTGTTGACCGAATAGAGAAGTTAGTCAATACACAAACAGACACTTACAAACGCATATATATATATATATATATATATATATATATATATATATATATATATATATATATATATATATATATATATATATATATATATATATATATATGTATATATATATATATATATATATATATATATATATATATATATATATATATATATATATGAATATATATATATATATATATATATATATATATATATATATATATATATATATATATATATATATATATATATATATATATATATTATATATATATATATACATATATATATATATATATATATATATATATATATATATATATATATATATATATATATAAGTGTTCTGGTTGTCACGGTCTTATCCTATTCAAATACTGTGTGGATGTGCTTCCATAGTTCTTGTTGATCAGAAATTCGCAAGAAATATCTATTAAGATCAAGTATTCTTCCCTAGGTGCATTGCTGCCCTTTGCAACCGTTGGGGTTTTCTCTCTTAAGCGGGTTTCTGCCCTTCGGTAGTTGAGAGGAGTGTAGTTGAATGTGTCGAAAGGTGTCGAAGTAAAAGAAACAGGTTACCCTGTTTTTTCATCCTTATAACACTCTAACTTTGAAGCTACTGTTAAGTATTGGAGTAAGCTAACGTTTGAGTATTTCTTTGCTTATTTTTAACAGAATTAGTAATTTTTTTTTTAAATGTCTTAATAATAGGATGGTAATGGAGATAGAATCAATAAATGTTTGCGTAAAAACCTACAACCCAGGTCTGAAAACAATCGTTCTATCATCATTTGATATTCACATGTTCTACACGATGTTCGATCATCATTTGACATTCACTTGTTCTTTAGGATGTTCTTTCATCATTTGATATTCACTTGTTCTACACGATGTTCGATCATCTTTTGACATTCACTTGTTCTACACGATGTTCGATCATCATTTGACATTCACTTGTTCTACACGATGTTCGATCATCATTTAATATTCACTTGTTCTATAGGATGTTCTATCATAATTTGATATTCACTTGTTCTACACGATGTTCTATTATCATTTGATATTCACATGTTGTGCTCGATTTTCTGTCATCATTTAATATTCACATGTTGTGCTCGAAGTTCTGTCATCATTTGATATTCACTGGTTCTATAGGATGTTCTATCATCATTTCATACTCACTTGTTCTACCCGATGTTCTATCATCATTTGATATTCACTTGTTCTACACGATGTTCTATCATCATTTGATATTCACTTGTTCTACACGATGTTCTATCATCATTTGATATTCACTTGTTCTACACGATGTTCTATCATAACTTGATATTCACTTGTTCTATAGGATGTTCTATCATCATTTTATACTCACTTGTTCTACACGATGTTCGATCATCATTTGACATTTACTTTTTCTATAGAATGTTCTATCATCATTTGACATTTACTTGTTTAATGTAATATACAAGTTATGATAAACGTACTGAACCATTGTTATATCAAATATTAGATTTACATTCGATACAATGTGCAATATTAGTTATGGTAAACATAATAAGCCATTGTAAAGGCACTTATCATTAATGATCAACACATTATACCATTGTCATTTTAAATGTCAGTTATTATCAACACTGTATGATGGTATTTCTAATATCAGTTTGGGTAAAAAAAATATACAATTGTAATGTTAAATATCAGCTATGGTAAAATGTCAGTTATAACTTTTCAACACGCTTTCCCCACTGTAAATTGAATGATTACTTATCAACACGCTATAGCACTGTAAAGATAGTTATCATTTATCAACACGTTATCACAGTGCAAGTTCAATTATCCCTTTTCAACGCACTTAACTAAACAAGGTCACCCCTTTAAGACTGCATAATGCTTGGAATTAAATTACAGCATTTGTTGTTTTTTTTCAATTTATTTTAACAAACCAGTTTATGCGAACATTTCAAGACCTGAGGAGATTAGTCAGATGCGTTGGGCTCGTTTGACGAAGACCTATGGATTGCACATAATTTTATACATCGTCTCACGTCAGCAGTGATGATCAAGATTCACTTATACTTGCAGAAGCGTAGAGAAAGAGAGGGGAATGCTATGCGTGTGTGTGTCTAACATCAAGGAGTTTATGCTTGTGTTGTGTGTAGCAACTAGCAAGCATAAAAGATAGAGTGAGAGAGAGCGAGAGAGAGAGAGAAAGAGATAGAGAGAGACTGTTGCTTTTGTATCATTATTTACTACTGTTTACTCCTTCACATTACAGAAAGTATCCAGTATTTTGCTACTTCGGGAACAAAGACACTACAGTTTTAATTAGGATTACTCATTAAAACTTACGCATCAGCACATACTAATGTAACTTATTACAATATGTTTGCAAATTAAGACTTAATTTACCAATCAAGGTCCTTTGGTTATGCATACACATTTCACAGTGCTATACTGATTTGAGGACAGAAACGTGTTAGATTAAGTGTTAACCTAGCACACTTTTTTTCTGGAAGAGTCAATTGTCGGACAAGAATAGTAGATGTAATCGAGCAATGTGTTAGATTACGCTGACGTGGCATTGAACAAGGGATAGTTAAATTCCTGTTTAGACCAAGAAATCCTTTTGGCAGATGAAGCATAGTTCATATGTTTCTGTTAGCCCAGCTTTTGAAGGGATTGTGTAGTCAGCACTTTGCCCTGCCGCTTAAACTATCCTGTACGTAAGTCAGGTACCCATCAGAGCTGTGCGGACTTAAGGACATCATTTAGTCATGAGTCCGAACCAAGATCCGAATTCGAGAACTTCTAGTTAGATAACTGTGGGTTTCGGGGTTCATCCATAAATGACATCACGTCAGTCACTTATCTTCACAAAATAATCATACCCCACATTCAAAAAGACGTTTTTTTTTATCTTTTTAAAGCACCGAATTTTGTGTCTGAAAACAAAGATTGTTCTCCACCTACATACTATTTTACAGCTCTACACATAGTGCAGATTCTTTCCTGTATCCAAGTGGAGAAACAAAAAAACAAAAAAAACAAAGAATATTCAAACACGTAAACAAACTTGAGTTTTAGTAGTAAACTAGACTACCCATCATTCCTTGGATAGCTACGTGTTTCGGGGGTCATACATAAAAACATCACGTCTGTCACTTATCGTCACAAAAACCAGACCCCACATTAAAAAAAGACGGTTTTTTTTTTTTAATTTTTTAAAAACACCAATTTCGGCTGAGCATGGGTCTGATCACAATATCCTTTCATACACCGACGTCACAGTTTACCTTCTCAACTCTACTTCACCTGCCCAGTGTCCCGCCTAGTCTCAGACAACATGTTTTTATCGTTTAAAAAACAATTCCGGCCGAGCATGTATCCGACCACCCTATCGTTTTATATGCTGAGGACAAAGAAACAAGTGAACTCTACTTTATCTACCCTGTATCCAGCCAAGTTCCAATAGGCAACTTTATCCTTCACATAAAAAAAAGAATTTTTTTGTGTCTAGAACCCGTGTCACTTGCATGGAAGCCTATTACACTAAAACCTTAGCTATCTATACTCGTGACGTCGTTGACGTTTTTTTTTTGGAGCTATATAATACTTTGAGTCTCCTTATGAAACTTGATTTACGCGCATATGCTCTAGATTTAGATCTAGATCTAGTAGCTTTCAAATTAAATTTTATCTTAAATTAGCCAATTCCATAGCTTAAGAAACAAAGATTTATATAAAATAATGAAGGTCTGATATTGTTTACTATAGAAACTTATTATTATCTAGATCTAAATAGAATTATCTAGATTCTACGACTGCTTTGCTTAAGTCTAGTTTTTGCCATAACTCTTGCTAGATTTCTAGATTTAGATTAGAGCTATTCTAGATCTAGATAGATAAAACTAAATTAAAAAGTTGAAAATTGATGCAAGTGTTGGAACGTTTTAAAAAAACAGCAATCGGACGTATTGTTAAAGTTATAGATGACAGAAAATTAGCTTTAGAACGCGTTAAACATTAAAATGGGAATACAATCTTCGATAGAAACCGCCATTGTTGATGTAAAAACTAAATAAATCATGTGACATCACTATTCACTCAAAGTAAAGC